GAGATGACGAAAAGTATTTTTAATTTTAACATGAAAATTACTTTGCACACGAATTATTCAAAACAAATACTCAATATATTCATGGACAAAACTTTATTTGATTTTATTAAAAGTACTTCATTAAGAAATATGACTTTGTATGAAATATTAACTGAAAGACTGCCAATATTTCATGACGATATACCCAATATATATAGAGAGTTATAAGTATTAAATTTATGTCAACTTTAAACGAGTACAGAAGGTCACGTGACTCGGTCAAATTGACTGACCCTGTGTCGGAAGAGTTAACAGTTAATTTACAATACAATTTTTGTAAAATCGCCATCTTTGGAATATCCTGTGAAAAGGATGAAGAAAGGCAGTAATAGAAGTATTAAAATACTTTTTGTGATGCAATATTATAAAATAGAGGTTGACACTTAAAACTAAAATTGGAAGTACTGACCTTCAGCTGTCTCACTTGCTCCTTATAATCTTCATCTTCATCTGAGTCACAGTCAGGTAGTGGGTAAATTTTGATACCATTTTCTTCAATCTCCTGCATGACCTGGATGTAACGAGTATAAAGCTTCAAATGTAATAGCGCTAACAACACAATCATTTAAAATTTTGAAGATGCTGGATACTTGTAAACTATATTTATCAATAAAATTTTACATACAGATAGATATAAATCATACTAATTTCTATTCATACCTCTATTTAGATACACTGCTCTAATGATGCCTTCTATTCCTATATACTAGACTAATTAATACATGGTTCATATCAAGCAAAGTGTACATAATCTTTTTGGCTGAATATTTGCCACATTTCCAACACCACAACCCTTCCATTCCCAAGTATGCAATGATACTTTTTAAATTATACTGATTTTTGAAATGGAAGAAAAAAATCCATAGATCTATGACACTGACTTTAAATGTTGCAAATAATTACATCCTTTACTTTACCAGAAGCCTTGCTCGTGTCACTCACGTATGTGATGCACTGAGAGGACAGGATAAACTAGAATAATAACATCAAGGCTACTCCCAGTTAAAAGGGCCTTCCTATTTTCAACTATCTGAAAAAAATGCTGACACAGTCATGTTTAGATGCTCTAACATGCATCTGTAGGGAGGGCTCCTGAGACACTGACAGATAATTCATTTGAAAGGCTTGCAAGTATGTTAAAGAACTATAGAACAAGAAAATTAAACCTTTAAATGAATAAAATGTTGAACAACTGTCACGACTGTATGTTTATTTATTCAGTTAATAAAATTGCTATTTTTTAAAGATTCCCAACTTGACTGTTTTATGAGTCAAATTTCCTGATTCAAAAATTATTTTAAATTGAATGATTTAGTTGCTTCATGAACTGCTTAACTATAATGCCATTTTTTAATTTTGACAAATGGATGAATGTGAATCCTGAGCAGACTTAAAAATTATATTGAAGATGGGGTTTGCTTGACATGAATATGTTATACATTAATCTATATAACATCTCACTGTTGTTCATCAAGCCAAAATTAGAATGGCATCACCAGTACCATTATTTTGTAAACTTGAAAGTATTCAATAAATTCAGCCAAATAAAGCTATGCACACAGAGAAGCCAGGTTGCACATTTATATAATGTTGCTATAATTAATCTTTTTTTGCTTTTGTTACTAATTTCTAAGTACTTTACAAATTTAAAAACTACAAATTTATTAGCATGTTTGTATGATAGAGCACCTGCTAAGCAGTTGTTACCCTCTTTTAACAAACTACATCAAATGGTATTTAAAGTGACAGTTATCAGTTAAAATACAAAGTTCAAATTAAAGGTAACAGTGTAAAGAAATCCTGAAAGTGTTTGGCTCTATTGTTACACGTTATCTGATATATTCTTATTTGGTAGTAAGTATACATCTAGAATATTAGTGTTTGGCTCTATTATTCCATGATATCTGATATATTCTAATTTGATAGTAACTAGACATCCAGAATATTAATGTTTGGCTCTATTATTCCATGTTATCTGATATATCCTTATTAGCTAGTAAGTAGACATCCAGTAGACAGAATTTACCACACAACTAAAGCAACATGCATGGCAACTGACCCTTCGCTTGAGTTTCATAACTTCTTTCTTGGTTAGGGCATCAGATTTTGCAATGACCGGGACAATGTTCACTTTGCTATGCAGCTGTTTCATAAACTCAATGTCTAGTGGTTTGAGTCCATGGCCGAATGGGGAGATGAAGTAGAAACAGCAATGGATCCGATTATCAGTAATGTTACGTCTGTTTAATCCACTCTCATCCTGAAGAAACCGTTCAAACTGCTCATCGATGTAGTGGATTATAGATTTAAAGCTGATGGTACAAATGAACTTGAATTATAGAAAAACAGCTCATCAAAAATAACATGCTAATAATGCCAGGAGGAAGCAATACATGGTAATTACTTTTACTACTAGCACTAATTATTGTTATTAATCCTTACCTAAAAATTATGATTAGTAAATGGATTAAATAAATTTGATAATTACAGTTAATTTACTTAATCTAGTTCACATCATAACAGTCATTGTTCATGAGAGTTGATATGTCCGTTATATCCTATCCAGCCTCATGAACACTGGTTTTAAGCAAAAGACCTCATCAGCACTGAATACGGCAGATGTAGTGAGGTTGACGTATTATAACACTCTCCTCTGCTTTCACTTGTAAGATCTTAGAGTTAATAGAGACTTGTTAATAAACCTTACATTAAAACTAGACAATATTGAAGAGTTAAATACAACACAAAAGGTGATCTGAGGGTTAGGTGCTCCATACTTGACTGAATCTCTTCTGTGTGGATAATATTTGTTTAATATCAGTGAAAATTCCAGTTTTGTCTCTGTCCTATGCTTCATCAGACAGTGCACCATGCTAATATTTGTATCCACTGTTCACTTATACTCAAACGTTAAAACACATGACAATTAAAATTTATAGGCAACCAATTGTACAAAGTTCAAAGTTGGTTGATACATGAACCAGTTTTGCTTCAAATTTCATTTTAATATATATTTCAAGGAGAATATGAGGAATTGGCAAATATCAGATCTTATTGTTAGTAAGTACATCTATCAGCCATGCTCGATTTGTTAATAGAAAGCACTACTAAGACAAGATATTCTTTGACTAGTATTTCGGATTAAGAAGTTAGCACACAGGATCACATACAAAAGTTGTAATGGTTTTCAAACAAAACCCAAAACTCAAGCAGTTTCAAATAGTTCACTATTCAAAAGCACACTTTGACAAGTATGATACATATGCAATATTTATCTTTTGTAGAACTTACTCGACTATAAAAACACAAATTATATGACAAATGATACACTAGAAGAAATACACAAAAGTTCCATGGCATAGAGACAATCTTTTTTTTTATAACTTTTTTTTTTAATCTATCTATGCTTTAGAAGACAAAAGTTTTATTAAAACATCTGATTTCTTAACTTAAAATTATTTGCAAACAAGACTAACATCTACTAGTACAAAAGCTTACCAATCAGTATTATCTATAGCATCTCCAAATCCAGGAGTGTCCACTACAGTCAATCTCAGCTTCACTCCCCTCTCCTCTATCTCAACTGTGCTAGCCTCCAGTTTAACTGTCTGTTTAATTTTCTCTGCATTGATAACATTAGTGAGTTACTCTTTTTAATATACTTAATTTCTTACACTAAAACAAATAAATCAATAATTTTTTATCTTATTACTAAAAAATGTAATATTTTTGTTTTCTTTTTGGTATCTTTCTCTTTGAACAGTCCTTACAATAATTCAAATTAGAAAATATACATTTGTGCTATTCATACACACACTAATTTGTGACAGATAAGTTATAAATTCTGCATATAACAAAAGGATTGAGTGAACATGTTTTGTACAGAATAAAGCAAACACAGATCAGACTGTACACACAAAACAACAAAAAACAATCTAATGGTTTTGACAAGACTTTGCTTCGATAAACTGTAGCTCATCTAGCTGCTGGAGAAGATCACAGAATGAGGATTAAAGAATTGTGTGATATCAGTTAAGCAAGATAAAACACCACACTGGTTCAATATCCTACAATTGTTAGTTACCCACATCAAATGCCTCACTTATTTTACATTCAAGGGGAGACCACTACATCAGTTCACTTTCAAGCATGATCCTCATATCAACCAAAATAACAAGATAATTTGAACAGTCAAGTATAAGCTATATAGTGGTTTCTGTAGTGTGCAACCTGCTCGAAACAAAGTACAGCTGACTGCATTCAGTTGATCAGGATGCTAACCGAGTGTCAGAACATTTTGTTGAATAAAGATATATTCATACCTTATCTATTTCACAGTGAAAAGCAACTCTTATTGGTGGAAGATCAGCTGTCGTTGACAGATGAGATCAACTTTTCTCCAAAGCCGTCAAAATTGTTTTTCATATATGGCAGAGAGCAACAACCCTCCACGAGCTTGAATCAAACAACAGATAGCAGATGTGCTGACATCTGGGAGCAGAAGCAGGAAACATAAGTATGAACAATCCCTCAGCTGAGGCCCCAGCCAGCATGTGACATAAGGCACCCACGCACAGAAATCTCAGCCGATTGTCATATTTTTTTCTGTGTTTTGACCATAATTTGGGTAAGATAGTGACAGCATAATGTCAAGATATGCAAAGTGTATCTTATATGTCATAATGCATAATAAAGGGAAATATACTACTAATTAACAATGTTTTTTTGATTAACAAATGACACTGATTGGTGACTGACCATCAAATCTAATTACACAGTGAAAGGGTTAACCCTTTCCAGATGGGTCATAGGTCAAAGGCCATGTCATCTTGTTTGTTGATTCGCATTCAAAATTTTATTGAACTACTATTTCATGAATTTATGTCAATAACTTTGGCATCAAACTGTAGGTTATAATTCAAATAAAATAAAAATAATAAATATATATATAAATGTATAATATTATGAGAGTTAAGCTATTTAGTCTAAACATTTATGTTTTCATGTTATAATCTGTAGTTATTCTAGAAAGAAAGAGGCATAATCTACAGAACCCATACAGAGAGTTGTTACTGAAAATAACAGAAAAATATAGAGTATTTTTCTTAAGAAATGTTTGATAACTAACTGGACGTTATAAAGATTTTGGATGTGGAATTTCAAAATTTTCTGATGCATAAAAATATTTTTAATCTTAAAATGAAAATTATTTTGCATGTTGGATAGACAACATGTGAAAAGAAAAAAAGGCATGAGGATAACATTGCTTTACAAACCTCAAGACTTAATAAAAAAAAATTGATATTTTGAGTATGAAAGCATTGTAATGTTTACTGATAATCTGCCAAATTTCATTAAAATACACTTACTAATTTAAAAGTTATAGCATGAAAACTATAACAAAGACAAAATGGTTACAAGATCGGTCCCATGGACCAAGCCCAAGCTGAAAGAGTTAGAGAGTTAATTTCCATTCATCTAACTAATGCAAAAATGTTTTTTGATGATACAAAGGTTGATGGAAACAGTTTTTTTCAACGAGTTTAGCAGCACTATAAATAATTTGCAGCATTTCTATTAAGTGTAGATTCTGTAGGAATTAATTTCTAGTCATACATGGCATTAGACCAGGGATTCTCAAACTAGGGGGTCACATAAATATTATTGGGGATTGCAGAAACATTTGAAAATCTTATTTTTTTCATAAATAATTAGGTAACCAGTTTTTTTTATCTCTATACAAAAATGTACTCCTTATGGTGCTTATATATTTGAAAATGGTATTCATTTTGGTAATCTTATTTATCTTTTTTTAGTCTTTAGTAAAATTTCTTTGGTATTTACTTGTTTCTATGTTTAGTTACTGTTAGATTATGACTAAGGACTATTTATATACAGTTTTAGTACCTATTGCTTTTATGACATTGAGTGAAGGGTCATGAAAAAATTTGTCTGATTCAAAGGGGTCGCAAGTGAAAAAAGTTTGAGAAGCCGTGCATTAGATTATAATGCTTATTCTGTTGTACATGCAGTTGATATTTTTCTTTTACACACACTGTTAGATTTTGAAGGACATTTTTAAGACAGGAAAGATTCACCTTTACTGTTTGATAACAAAAACTTACCAGATGCATCAGGAATATATCTTTCAGGATAGAGATCAGTTAGAAAGAGGCTATTAATCATTGTTGACTTCCCAAGACCAGATTCACCTAAAACACACACATACATATATATATACATATACATAAAAACTTTATCAACAGCTGCTACAATTTTCTTAGTAGTTCTAACCTGTCAAATTAAAAACATTTATATGTCATTGTAGCTAGTTACAAAATTAACATTTATATCTCCTTGTACTTAATTAGGAAAGTAATTAAAATCTATTACTTTGGAGTTACCTTTAAAAATAAAAATAAACAAAAAATGGAAAAAACTTATACCATGACAAAAGAAATAGTTTAAAATAACCAGAGGAAGGATGTCCCACCCCGAAAAAATGTTGTGAATATTAAAACATTTTCTCATGGTACAAGTTTTTCCATTTCTTTGTTTTTGATCTCATCATACCACAGTGGTTTTTTTAGCTGTTTTTTCTTCTAGAAAAATAACACATCTTCTCATACTTAGATTAGAAAAGACAGAAACATTTACATTTCCCTGTAGTTATTTAGAAAAATAATTAACATTTACATTTCATTGTAGTTAGAAAAGTAATTAACATTTCTATCTCCCTTTAATTTGTTACAAAAATAATTTTCATATATTCTTGTACTTATTTAGGAAATTATTTAACATTTATATTTCCTTGTAGTTAGTTGGAAAAGTAATTAACATTTTGTCTCCTTGTAGTTAATTAGCAATGTAATTAATGTTTTTATGTTCTTGAAGATAGTTAGGAAACTAATTACTGTATATATCTCCCTGCAGTTAGATAGAAAAGTAATTAACGTATGTTCTTGTAGTTAGTTATGAAAGTAATTACTATACAATTGTCCTTTTAATTAGTTAGGAAAGTAATTAACATTTATATCTCCTTGTAGTTAGTTAAGAAAACAACTGACATAGCTTCATGTTGAAGAATTAAAAATGTACAACAGTAAATTTTCTCCAAGAATGATAGACAATCAACACACAGAATGCCTAGATGTGCATAAAACTGAAGACTTGCTGTAGAAAACCAATGGAATCAAAATCATAATTATTTAATTAACAAGGGAAATACTTTCAAATGGAAGAGCCTTATGAAAAGTGCACAAACTAAGCTTATATACAAAATATCTTTCTTAGCCTACAATCATTAACAGTAACAAGCCAATGATGGCATACTTTAACACTGTTTATATCTTTAACTGGAGTAATTACAAAGGAAAATTAACATTAAAAAACAATAAACAACACAAAAATAATTTGAAAACATTATTTTTGTTTATACATATTATTTTCTGCTATTACTTGCCATGTAATTGCAAATTTAAAAGTAAACTTACAATATACTTGGTCATGACTCTGCATGCATTATGGTTCATGAAGCTCTAGTCATTTCTACTGAAGTTAAGAATCAAACTTACCAACCACCATTAATGTGAATTCAAATCCCTTTTTCACAGATTTACGATGAACTTGATTTGGAAGATTAGCAAACCCTACATATCCGGGCATTTCTGGATTTGCAAACTGAAATCAGAGAGTCCTCAATGTACAAAGATCAATTTGAAACTATATATTTGGACTTTAAATTCTTTAAATTTTTGAGAAACTTAAATGAAAAATTAAAAACCTTGTAATTAAATATCAAACATTTTTATTTTCAGTAAAGCTTTATATTTTATTTATTTTTTGTACCGTAACATTATACTTATTTCTCCAGGTTGTTAAGTAAGTAATCAAAGCATAACAAAAATAAAGGGTGCAAAATAAAATGATAATCAGTGATATTATTAATAGTGATTACAAAATTTCAAAGTACTTATTGTCAGAGTTTACACTCTCACCGTTTCACATTTATTTTCTGCAGTTATTTTATTGCTAGAAGATGAGTTAGAAATTAGAAGAAACAAAATGAATAGTACTCTGTTCTTTTTAGTATGGACAGTAAAGTTCCAAGTAAATCTCCTGTAAATTTCTTCTAATTTTTTTACACCAGTTTCCTATTGTTATTCTACTGTTAGCAGGTGAAGTAGAAACCTGCCAATTATAAAACAATGAATCACCATTGCTGTTTAGGTGTTATTGTACTTTGACACCATCAATATCAAATAAGTTTATGCTGCACAATTCCCATAATTTTCCCTGCTTTCAAAACACAGTGGGATAGGATATATCAACTTGTTGACAGTATAGTGGTTACAACGACAATTGTCTAGAGTATTATAAAATGTTTGTGACTTTGTAAAGTCTGGGCCGATCTAATAAATCAAAAACACATAAAACAGAAAATAAAGAATATTTGGAAAACAATAATATCCACTGCTTACAATGCTACAAAGTCTTTGTTTGCACTCATGAGCCATACTTGCTAAGCCTTGTCCAAATTAACATGTGGAGATGGAAAAAAAAAATAATTTTTGTAAACTTTATATAAGCATTTTGGAATACAAAAAATTTATAAATTACTATACCAATACCCAAAAAATCCACTGTAATTTATCAG